CTCTCTCTCTCTCTCTCTTTCTACCAACCAGTTTTCCTCTTTCTCTGGCGGCTCGTTTTTCTTTTTCCAACCAGGAGGCGAACCGCCATCCTTCTCAGCCTTCTCTGTCACCACGTCACCACTATCGTCCCCATCTTCCATTTCTTTTTCATCTCAGTCCCGCTCCAACCTTCTACCATCTATTCGACTCTTACCGACAAACTGGCTCTGTCCGTCTTCCTTGTCGTACCGTTCCTTTTCCTCCGATGCTCGTCACAACGTCCATGCCGATTCCTATAATGCTAGGAATGCTGAGATCTCAGCTGCCCCCCCCCCCCCCGTGGTCGTTACCAATCGCTGGAATCGCGTTTACGCTGATTACAACTTCCAATAACAAGTTCCCTTCCGATTTAGGGAACACACTCCCTATTTATGCAGGGCGGAAAAGTTTCTCCATAAAACGAAACGAACGGACGAGACGGAACGAAACGAAACGAGACGAGACGAGACGGTACGACACGGCATGGCACGAAATGTTCGTTGGCGCGAACGAGCGCGAACGAGCGCGTACATAATTGCCCTACCATGAAATAATTGTGTAACGCACGCGTTGCCCTTGCTCGAGACACGTCGGGATCACGAGTAACGAGACCCTTGACCCCTTCATTGAAACCTAATTCCTGTAATTTCATGACACGGAAAACATTTCCGGAAATCTCGGACGAGCCAGACTCCCGCGACTAGATTGTGTCAGATTCTATCGTATTATCTATGTCCGCTTAATTATCGCTATCGAACGTTTCTTGCTAATTCCCACGTGGGAAACAAGAAAATTTGCTCGATTAGATGACGATCCGTTTCGATCCGATTCGTTTGCAATTGCTACACACTGTGTACACGCGTGCACGAGTTCCGTGCATACGAATTCGCGCGACGATTAGAGTAAAGCTGACGTTCGAATGGTCCGATTTAGCTGGAACAGTACTCGCACGCGTACTCGAACGTGGCAATAAACGCAACAGGTGTGAATTGTGTACAGTATGAACCCAAAGAATGAACATTTTGTTATATCAACGAAGCCGATTTATTTGCTAGATCCTACAAAAACGGCGACGCTACAGAAACATAGAATACTCGGTGGAATGCTAAATCTAGAATTATCTGTCGATTTCGCCGAAAACAACGTCCAGGGTGCCGATGATCGCTACAATATCGGCGACCATACAACCCGGACCCATATGACGCAACGCGGACAAGTGAGCAAAGCCCGGAGCTTTGATCTTGCACCTGTAAGGCTTGCTGCTACCGTCGCTTACAAGATAAACCCCAAATTCTCCCTTCGGTGCTTCGATCGCGGTGTAGGTGGCACCCGGAGGCACGGCAAAACCTTGCGTGAACAGCTTGAAATGATGGATCAAAGCCTCCATACTGGTCTTCATTTCCTCTCGTCGCGGCGGAACTATTTTCGCATCGTCTATTCTAACTTCGCCCGGTGGCATCTTATTTAGACACTGATATATAATCCGCAGCGATTGACGCATCTCTTCGATGCGGCAAAGATACCTGCGAACAAACGCGATATTACTAACAGAAGGAAAGAACCCCGGAGTCTACAATTTGCGCAACGATTAGAGCTCCGAATACCGAAGCTAACGATTCTACTCCCTTCTCGGGGCGGACGGTTAATAACTTTTCGCATATAAAAGTCAAAGTTTTTCACCCGGTATAACCTTCTTTTCATTTCATTTTTTTGTTTTTCTGGAAATACACGCGTAGCTGATCGTTTGAAAGTTACCTCGATTAAAATTCCATGCGAGAACCTCGCGTTTTAAGTCGATTCCATCGAACGCATAGAGCCCGCGTAGTCCAACGGTGTATATAAACACGCCTACCTGTCGTAACAGTCGCCATGTTTGCCAATAGGAACATCAAAATCCACGAGATCGTAAGCGTCGTAAGGAGCAACTTTCCTCAAATCCCATTTGATTCCCGAGCCGCGCAACATTACTCCGCTACAACCCCAATTCAGCGCATCCTCCGCAGATAGTACTCCAATGTTGCGTGTGCGAGAAATCCAAACTCTGTTCGAGGTCAGCATGTCTTCTACCTCGTCCAAACGTTCCGCATATTTTGACGCCCATTCGTATATGTCGTCCATTAAACCGAGCGGCATGTCCAATGAAACACCGCCAGGACGGACATAAGCGGCGTGCATTCGTGCACCGCTGACACGCTCGTAAAACTCCATCAGCTTCTCCCGCTCTTCGAACAACCAGAAGAAAGGCGTCATAGCGCCGATGTCCAACGCATGCGTTCCAACGCCCATAATGTGATTCAAGATTCTTGTAATCTCACCGAAAAGTGCTGAAAGTATAAAGAAGGGTTATTAACACTGCCCTGCCAAATCGTCGAACGAACGAATCTTTTACGATTACTCTCGATCGGTCTACCAAGATGGCAATCGCTTACTTCTAATATATTTCGCTCGTAACGGTACTTCTATGTTCAGCAATTTTTCAATAGCCAAGGAGAAACACTCTTCGTTACACATCATAGAAACGTAATCCAGCCGATCGAAATAAGGTAAAGCCTGCATGTAGGTTTTGTATTCTATCAACTTTTCTGTACCACGATGCAAAAGACCTATATGTGGATCGGCACGTTGGACGTGTTCTCCGGAGAGCTCTAAAATCAATCGCAGTACACCGTGCGCGGCTGGATGTTGAGGTCCAAAATTGATGACCATGTTTTTAAGATCTGCCTTGTTGCTTGTAATGGTGAGGTATTTATCCCAGTAGGATTTAATTGGATAGTAGCACCTTTCGTACTCCACTGCCCGCGCAAGTTCCTCACAGGACGGATAATACTTATGAGCGTCCCGCTGCTGACTGAAATATTTGGTACATTTGTGTCAGAGAATCAATTTTTTTAGGTTAAAAAACGATTACATAATATTGCATGTATATGTATCTACATCGCGCATTTACATTTGACATCTTCGAACGTAAAACTCGTCACGTTAATATCACCTTCCTATGCAGAACGAATTTCCTGTCCTGCAAGCAGTAGCGCACAGTCCTTTCTCGTTCCATAATCCAATAAATCCTTTTCGTGATCGTAGAATGGATGTCAACGCTCTGGCCGCCATTCTGGATATGGTCGATCAGAGAGGATGTTACTTTGATAGTCGTTACTGTTACTGTTACGTTACGTTACGTTACGTTACGTTACGTTACGTTACGTTACGTTACATTCACTTGGTAGGTTCGCATCGGCAAGATGCTGTGCCTATCTAGCACAAGCTTTTCTTTCTCCCTTCTGTAAGTGTCACCTACTTCGTGTTATCATTATTATTTTCAACGCTACGCGATAGTACGTATTTAGCTACCAACTTATAATCTAAATTCCAAACTCACCTTGAACGCCTTCTCCGGCTACTGTCGACCAAAGAATAAAAGGTTCTTGTCACTCACTCGTTCGTCGGATTTTCGGTCTCGAGCTTGTTGTCAACCATTCTCAACTGCAATTGGTTAACTTATCGTTGCAACGTACGGAATTCTAGTGCAATATGTACGTACGTATAACGACAGCGACAAATCATCTACATAGCGACATTCCAAATTTAATCTAATAAGCTAATACCAATGTGTACATATGTACATATAATAAATATCAATGTACACGGGAATAACCCAAGTTTCGAATCTTGAATCTAGAAACTCGGATCAGTGATTTCTACGGGAGACGGTGGAGCCTCTTTTGGAGACAAAATGATGCTCCGTTTGGGGTCCGTACAGCGCCAATTAGTCCGGTGGCAAAACGCTCAAACTGTTAGCCAAAATCAGCTGTCGGTAATATTGGCTAACAGTTTGAACGTTTTGCCAGCGGACTAATTGGCGCTGTACAGACCTCGAACGGAGCTTCATTTTTTCTTCGTAAGAGGCGCCACAATCGCCCACTTATGCACAACGCAGGGTCGCCTGTAAACATTAATTACGACAAAATTAGAGCATAAACAACTAAACCAGGGGTACGGGGAATTATTCAGGAGAATCTGCTGTGTCGATATCGTGCAAGAAAACCAAACAAGAATAGTACAAAATATCATTAGTCAACAGAGAATATGTACTCAACCAAAATTCGAAGAGCAATTTAATTGCGTTTCACAATGTTGCCATTTGTTTCTTTTTTTATACGATATCTATGCAGTAGATTCTACTAAATAATCCTGTACCCTCTATTTATTTATTGTATGCCCTACTTTTATCATAATTCATTGACGACACAAGGTGACATAATCACATGTACATACATTTAAAGCATTCCAAGTATGCATATAAGTTATGCGCGCTCTAGTCTCCTCTTAAATTTCTTCGATTTGTTTCCTAACAGTATACATGTTTTATTAAACTTACGTGTATACATAGTTTATATTTTAGAGTAGATTATAGTTTATATTTTATTCTGTCCACCTATGAGAACAATGTTGATTGGTGCAGACATAATATAATCTCATTTCTTCTTCCGCTCGCCTGGTCTGTGCTTGGAAAAATACAGCTTCCCTGTGATTACACTTTGGACACGGGTGTTCCTCTGTTCTCGGTAAAGTAGGATCTGATATCACATCTGCTACAATATGTGTTAGTTCGCTGAAATCACAAAGTTAAAATTGCACTTTTTCTGTGCGCTATCCAACATCGTGCACATGCATCGCGTTACGATTACTTACTCAATTTCGTGCATAATTTTGTTCACATAAATACAATTACTATCGGCCAGTTGTTTGAAATCGCAGTTTCTACACTGTAAAGGTAATAAAGAATTATAGTTTTCCTAAAGGGAAAGTATATAACACGTACTTCTAATACTTACAGCATACATCAGTACTTTATTTTCTTTGTCTTCTTTAGGATACAACATATTATTGCATTCCTGACAAAATCGAATACCAACAAAACCTGGTCCGTCATCGTGTGTATCGTATCCAGTTATTTTTGACATGATGTGCGTTTAATTCTAATACCTAAACAGTATAGCTTCGTCTTTATCCTAAATATATCGTTCATATTCCAAATGAATGTTTACAAATTGTGAAAAATCAATATTATGTGGTACGTATCGTTGATACCCATACATTACCGTAGAAAAAAGATATACAAGACTAGCGTTGTAAATATACTACATACATACATACATACATACATACATACATACAACGTGACACGACGAAGAAATTCTCACATTATCCTTTCAAAACCATAATGGCGATTTGTTTAGTCACGTGACCGATCTCTTATTCGCCCGTTTTGTAACATGTGCATATATACACATGTTTGATTGTTCGATGTTCATCCGTTCTGCTCGCGACTAACTAATATGTGCGAAGTGTTTGTTAAAAACATAGGTTTTGTTTAAACGTAATTTATTTAATAAAACGAATGGCTATACACTGTACATACGTACATATCAGCCAATCCCAAGGTGCCCATAAAAGTAACTAAATCGTGACACGTATTCGATTGGTTACAAATTCGAACTAACATTTTGATGGCAATTGGACAATTTTCATGGGATTGTTAGACATATTCATACGTACGTATGGATTATTTAGTCTGGAAAAAATGAATCAAATTTATTTATTAGAGTATATGGACCCGCATGGAATCTATACTGCTACAACAGTACGTACTTATTGTTGGTAGCCCATAATTCGGCTTTGGAATACATCGATGATACATACACAGATGATATTGTACATACAACAACAAAGTGTATTGTATATATTTATGTTATGTAGAATGGCGGCGCGTCTCATCACGTGATGAACTTCTTATTGGACCATTTTTTGTCGGCAAGGAGAGACATACCTTAGGCCTTAGGCCTTAGACCAATGGCCTAAGTCCTAAGGTATGTGCATACGTACTAATATGTATGCATGTGTTCTGATTCCTAGAAAATTAATTTGAACATAAAGCTAACCACGTTCACTCTTCCAGGTTGAGTACCGTATTAGTTTCTTATGCTCTTTCAAGAGACAAAGCATTTCTTTTAGATCGCCTATCATTTTGATTGCAAGCTTTGGCGCGTTTCCATGAACAAGTCGAATTCGTACACTTTCTATGGAATTACAACTAGACGCATACATACACATATCTTAAACATATATTTTCTAAAAATATCAGCGAAATATTTGATCGGTGAAAACGAGTGAACACATATTATATTTCTCTGAACATAGAAAATATCTGTTAAAATTGTTAACAAGGTCTCGATGATTTTTCGCAGATATTTGATCCACACAGTATAGATTTCTATCGATGTTGTCAAAACTATTCGATTGAAACCATAAAGATATTTTTCAAAGATTCGGTAGTAGCGCTATAAATTCTACGTGATATTTCTAAAGGAGGAGGACGTGTACCAATGTGTACGAGGCGGCACACATACACAATGTATGCACGTACACGAGACGCACGAGCACCCAACGCGGATTTACGTGCGCGCGCGCGCGTACGTGTAGACGTGTGTGTACGGTAGAGCAGTTTTGATACGCGTCGGGCGTCGGGAGTCGGGAGTTCGTTCGTAAGAGTTTTCAGGAAAGACAAGAGGTGCGCTGGTGTTCCACTAAGCTACCCCCAGCCTTACTACCCCCACCCTTCTGTTCGAGCTCCCCTAGCTAGTGCAAATCTCGGCGGATGAATGTTTTCTTAAGGGATTCTTCCCGAAAGCGACGCGAAAATCTGAGAGGAGTCGACAAAGCTGAAAATTCGTGAGTGAAACCATTTATTCGAAAATTCGTTCTACTTTTTGTTCCCCGAGTCCTGAAGTTTGTAGAATTCGGATTCGTAAACTAAGAAGAAAGACTAAACTTGTGTTCAAGGCGTTCCTGGGGGGTGATGACACTCACGCCGACAGCGTCTCCCACAAAGATTTCACCATTTTTCTATATGGAACGAAATTTTACATTTCTCCATGTATATCGTACATTTTTTGGTTAACCTGTCGGCTAGTACGCTTTGAACACGTGATTACGATAAACGCCGCGTAACTGGAGTTTGGGTTTGAACTTTTTTTTCCAAAGAATTTGCTTAAACATTATCAGCGACCGATTTGTTTTGTTACATGTTTTCTCAGAGATAATGCTACGAATTTCTATTCGAGTTATTTTCACATGAATATTTTTCTTTGTAACCACATTTCGTTTATATTACCAATTTCTATATTTCATTCAGGTAGATATTTTGTATTTCATAAGTATGATGGATTCTCTTCATAGTCGAGAACACACACCGTAATCATCAAATTATTCTAGCCATGTTGCATGCTATTGTTACGGTAGCACTTGCACATTTTGTTAATCAAACTATATATTTTCCATTAATTTCTCCAACTTTTCTTTGTTACGTCCGTTGACATTCAAAGGCTTGTTCTTATCCTCGAGTCGTGCCTTTTGGTCTTTTTCTTTTACAAAAGTTCTTATTTGTTCCGGCTTATCGATGTACTTTATTAAAGTTTTTTATGTATACGTGTACAGGCAAACGTACACGAATCGAATTGGATCGTTTCAAAATTTATCTTTAGCAGATCTCTTCGCGCGACGTTAACTTTTTATCAGAAATACAATGAAATGTTTGTATACGAGAAAGAGAAATGAATTCTTAAAAGCATAAAGTCATTGCGATATAACATCAAATTAAATTATACGTTATCGTCGAACTTATTACATGTTATACTTGGAATAGAAGCGTATCGGTTGCTAAAGAAAGTTTACATCTATCTTATCGTTGTAACGTTTCGTCGTTCTAACGATCCGTCAAGAAATATATGTACAGTGTTCGAACTATAACGAATAC